AAAAGCACCGAGAATGGGCAATTTTTACGATAAACACTTATATATCATTAGAATCCTTGTAAGCGATGAAACCCAAAATAAAGAATTACATGGTCAAAGTTAGGTAAAATTAATTTCTATGTTAGATTACTACTATGGACTAATCCCCACTGTGAAATATGAACACTAAAGCCTTTTTACCAAGTGCGATTTACTTTTTGGTAAAAACGGTTCCTTCCACCTGATTTTTGCAGAGAAACTTTGCAAATTACAAAGTTTTTATATCATGAATTCTCAAAAGAAGATGGTGGTGAATTGGTCAAGTCAGAACCACTTTTAATGGACTTCAAAGGAATTTAGTCGAAAAATCCCAAAATATTTTACCTGAAAGTTGCACGCAAAAATGTGTGTTCATAACTCAGACGAAGGGGCAGACAGACAGGCTTCAATCCATTCAAAAAACGATTCTAAATCGAAAGAAATAATAAAAGGCGGGTTTTTCTAAAATACTTCAGGGTGTTAAATACATCCATAAAACTAATGTTTATCTTTTGTTATCAGAAATGTTGTTAGATATAAAAATGTAGCGATATGTAAATATTCGGTTTACCATGACTGCATTAAAAAATATTTATAAGAATGCTTCAGAAAAAAATTCCTACTCCCGCCCAGCAATATCATTTTGTCCTCATCATTATAGCTCACAACTTTGCCCCTAGAAAGAGAAATGAAAAATATTCCTAAGATCTGACTCAAAATTATAAGACCAACTGACCTTATTTTTATGGCTTACATTGAATTTTTTATTTTTTTGAAGAAAAATCTGCTCATTAATCTTTAATGAAGTCTAAAAAGTTGTTCGATTTTCACTAGAGAAAGATATTTCGAAATTGCGGTTACAATTTCAGCAATAGTTTCAATAAAAACAACAACTGATGAACTCGAAATTCATAGATACGAGATTAAGTGTTTAAAGTTTTAACTTTCAGTTTCCAAGAAATTTGTCGTTTTTGCATTTAATCTGGAAAGCTGCACCACACAAATGGTGTATTAATTTCGAACACTTCTAATTGCAAGGCGTACATACAAAACACTCTTGAGGTAGCTCACCTTTTTTAAATAAATTAAAATAAAACATTCAAAATTGATCAATAGAAAAGGCATTGCCTTCCTTGTTTGTTCGAATGTGAGGAAAAATTTGCCCGGGAAGTGCTACTGTGTCTGCCTTATAGCTCAGACCTTGCTTCAGCCAACTAGTTATATCGCTCTCTGCATAACTAGGTTAACTTGTTCATAATTGTAAAGGCGATTTCAAAAGATCTCTGTACAAATTTTTCGCCCAAAGATAGCAAATGTTCTATCCACAATGCCATAAACAAAATGACAGAAGTCTGTTACCCAAAATAGTACGTGTTTGGCTTAATAAAAGCTCGTTTAAAATTTAAGAAAATTTCCTTTGAAAATCGAAAAAAGATTTCACGACCTTATTCAACCCCTTTTACATTTTCAATGCGTAACTTATACGAGCAAAGTGTCTTTATTAAGTCAGACAGTTCGAACTTCTAATGCTTTTCCTTACGGGATCTATTCTTTACTAACCTAGTTTTTGTGAATCTTAAAAAAACTGCAAATGAACTAATTTATTTAAAATTTTATATGGCAGGTTAAGGTAGTTATCTAATCTATTTTACACAAAATCAAACAATCATCCACCAAGCAGCCATAAAAAGTTTCTCAAATTGTGTTTACCAAATTGTAATTTCAGCATCAGCCTAAATATATTTAATAACAACGAAAAAATGTTACTAATGAAAATTCATAAAATTTGGAGTCAAACGCCTTAAAAACGAACGATATTAAAAAGAAACAAATGTAAATTGTTGCTTATTTTCACATGTCTAAAGAAATCAAATTTCTTTAATACAATCATCAAATCAATGATTGAATACAGGGAATTATATTCGAATTATATGTGAGCGTAAGATGATCTTTACTTAAATGAAAATGTTTCCAATGCCCACACTATCAAATTATAAAAAAAAAAAAAACAAGAAAATTAAATTCGGTCGAAACCGAATCTTTTGTACCCACCACCGTTTACCCAAAAAAAGACAAAAAAAAAAATAAAAAAACAAAATTCTCGCGCTCTGTGATGTGGTGCGAGCGAAGTTGATTACTTCTATTTTCAAAATAAAAGTTTTTGTCGTAGAGGCATGTGAGCGTTTTAGACGTGTCCTTTGAAAAGTTTAAGTCAATTCCAAATTCTTTTACAAATTTTTGGGCGACATCTTCATTTTCGCTAACGGGAGAATGTTTGTCACAAATACTATACACTGTAGTGCATACGGACAAGTGGGCAGACGGACACGTTAAGGCGGTTTTCAAATTTGAAGCTGGCTAAGAATTTATATACTTTATGGGTATTTTGAAGCTTGTTTCTCTGCCTTATAAAGGTATTGAAAAAAATTATATTTTAATACACCACAATATTGGGTATACGTGGTCAATTTTTTCAAGATTTAGACAAGTACTACAGCATAGTCCATAGAATATGCGTTCAAAATTTTCTACATTTATCTGTTATTGTTTATAGTTCGTAACGAGCAAAAAAAAACTGATCAAAAATATATATATTTTGTGGAGTGTTTGATCCTTCCTTGTGAGCGTTGGAAACGTTTTAACAAAATGAATATACCCCTCATGCTTCGGCGGTGGATATAAAATAACATGAAATATATAGAAAAACATAGGCTAGAGTTAATCAAGCGAGACTTCACTGAAAACCTTACACCCTTGTAATACATATGACAGTATGCATAATAATTTATTTAGTAGCAAAAGTATCCTTTCTCTTTCTCTCTCTCTTCTACAATAATCTCTATAAACATTAAAGAACCCTAGGAATAGATTTTTAATTATTTCTAATACATACTCACATGTCTGTAACCACGTTCAGTTTTCGTCAAGCTAGTCGCAGAAGTAAAGAAGAAGAAAAGCAGTCGTTGAAATCATATGTTAAACGCAATTGATGCTGGTTACTATGTTAAAAACGGGACAACTATGTTAAAAACGTGAATTCTGCATTAAAAACATGAACTCTGTGTTCAAGGCATCCTCTACGCTCTCCTTACTCTCCTGTATACTAAATGGTTCTAAATTTGATCTTCAGTCACGTCATTTGACTAACTTTCAGGAAAAATGACTTAAGCGAAATGGACAAGCAGTTAACGTGGCATCGAACCCTTTAAAGAGATAAACAACATATTGTTTGCCACCAAGTCACACAACTCGTTAACTCACTTGAAAGATGAACAATTAATGAATTCGTGCATCTTCTAAGTAACTAACTACATTACATTTTCCTAAAAAGTGAAGTGCTGCTCAGCAAGTACTTGACCAATCGATGACCCATCTTTACATTCATGTTACATAAAGGTTGCACTCAACGTGGGGTCCGTCGCATTGCAGTTGCATATTTTCCTTTCTATGCTTTACCTTTCTGTCTGGTGATATTAAATTTTTGAGATGTCGCCTCATAACTATTTCATCGCTAGTTTTCTTTGTAGAGTTATATGGCGATCTTCGTATAAATAATTTTTGGATTCATCTATACAGAAATATGTTATTTTTGAAAACTGATTCAACTCTGCTTGGAATTGCTGATTTGCTTTCCACAGCTTATCTTCCCCCATTTGTTCAGTGAAGAAATGAATCAAAATTTATATTTGGGATGACTGACATCCTTGGCATTGGACAAGTACTAACCGAAAGAGAATTTGGTGAATAACCCGCCTGAACTGATACTTCCCAGTCGAGTGCTTGCAACTTGCTTTCAAGCATTTTGATTAGCGACAACTACTAGTAAAAAGGATAAAGTAATCCGAAGTACCAACATACACAATGGTTAAATTCGATGATTTTGATCTTTCTCTACCCAAAATAACAGTTTTCCGTTTAAAATTACTGAGTTATTCAGCGTACGGCGACGGTAATCATGGAACATGCAACATCGTATTTTCATCATTCCTTACATTTTTGTTTTATTTGAGGAACTCTGCTGCCGAGACCCATCGAACTCTTTTAGAAACTTATGATGATACTACTCCGTCACATCACAATTGTCTAAAAGTGCTGATTTTGACAAAGAACGGTCTGGAAGAAAAAAAAGGTCCAAGACAATCAATTGAAAGACTTATTAGACGGAAATCCGGTTAAGTCTCCAAGAACGTTCAAATAGCTTAGCAGTTGATGAATCAATTCTGTCTTTACATGCAACTGGCGACGAAAAGTGGATCTACTACAGCAATCCCAAGTTCAAAAAGTCATGGATTAGGCCAGGGGAGCCATCTACATCGACACCGAAGCGGAATGTTCATAGTCAGAAAGTTTTGCTGTGCATATGATGGAATCAGTAAGGTGCCATCTGTTTGGTGCCATGTTGCTCAGGGCATCGCCAAACATAAACTCTACACATAGCACATGTTGAAGACTGACAGCCTGCTTACTTTTTACATCATCTACTTTTGCCTCTTTGCCAGTACACGGAACGCCAACTATCCATATTTATTCTCTTAAGAACAAGAGAACAAACACCAGAACAAATAGTGTTACTGTTATTAACGCATCGCTATTTTTACAAAGTTTTTGTATTTTTTATACATAAACACTTCTTTATAAATACATAAACAATAAAAATCTTTGGTATAAGCCTTTAGTCATATATATGTGTATGTATATAGTTAGATAAACCGTTCAGTAATGTAGACAACTAGTAAATATATTTAATTTATAGGTGGTTGTTGCTTATAGTATTCTTCTCATTTACATCGCAGCAGAAATAGTTATTTTGACAAATATAATGCAAGAAAATCAGGAAAAGATGATGCAAAGGGCAAGATAGTGGTTAAAAATAAAGAACAATAACAAAAAATCTGTGTAACAAACAATGAACCAGATACCAAATAGCATGAACTAAAAAATAAATAAAGAAAAAAAAAATAGATAAATAAAATCAAGCCCAATATCTTAAGAAGTTTTATTCTCTTTTGTTTCACTGTTTAACGCACATACTCTTGATAATTAAAAGCTAAATTAAATGAAACCTTTTTAATAAAGCAATTGAAATGAATTGTAGATGAATAAGAAAATTCAAAAAATATTAAACAGCTTCTTGTCAGCTGGGAGTCAGCGATCGCAATTTTATGCCAACGAATCGGTAGAGCACTCTTCATCGACAGTAATATATAAGCCCTCTTCCTCGTAGGCGGAATCGTGTTTAGCCAATATCCTTAACAGAGGACGCAATTTTAACCACCATTGACTTTTTGATATGCGGTGTCTTTTATTTAAAGGGGTAAGTGTTTTTTTAATTAGGAGACTTTTTAAAATTATAAAAACACTAAATCTTACTCGAAATTAGTTTCAGCTATTAAATCAGCTAAAGGTGTAAATTTATACTGACGTTTGATTATTCCCAATAGACAAGCGGATTCCTTATCGGTACAGTGTATACTGCCATCTGGTTGTAAGCTATTTTTAAATTGTTCAGTAAACCATTCAACACATTTGGCCGCCATTTTAGTGCCCATATTACGATCGAAAGGCGTTGGAGAGCCGCCCTGTTGCATATGACCTAGAAAATTCACATATATTTCAATTGTTTCTCCCGTGTTTACGTAAACTTTTCGTCATAAGCTTACCCAACACGTTCATACGACACGAAAATAAACCTTTGCCCTCCTCAGAGAATAATCGATGGATAAAATCGGTATTATAGTTGTCCGAAGCTTTTTCATTTCGTAATATTAAACCCCTCTGAACGCCCTCAGCCATTTTGGAAGCCATGTGATAGACATCCTGCTGTAAATCTTTAATCGAAAACTTTTCTTCAAAAATGTAAGCAGCATCGGCACCACCCGCTAAGCCAGCCATTGTGGCCAAGTATCCACAATACCCACCCATAGTCTCAATAACGAACACTCTTCGCTTGGTGCCCTGGGCAGATTGACGTATTCGATCGCAAATTTCCGTGATTTCATTTAGACCAGTATCACAACCCAGGGAAAATTCGGTGCCAGGCACATTATTCGATATGGTCGAAGGTATTACGGCCAAAGGTATACAAAATTCTGGATAAGTGCATCGTTGATCGGCAATTTGACCGCAAGCATGATAAGCTTCAAAACCGCCGATAATCAGCAGACCTTCAATTTTGAACTCTTTCAAACGAGCAGCTATATCACGAAATTTACATTCAGGCAGAGTGCGTTTGGTACCTAAGAAAGCACCACCTTGACAAACCCATCCAGTTACATCCGACCACCCCATCTCCTTGAAGTTGCCCGCTATCAAACCCTCAACTCCGTCATGTATGCCGTACACTTTATCGCCACGATAAATACAATTACGTACAAAACTGCGAACAGCCGCGTTCATACCGCAAGCTGGAGCACCGACATGCATAACAGCTAAACATCTGCTTTCGTCCTTTAATTAAAACAAGAAAGAAATCGCATATAAACTTAAGGTCAAATCTTTTAGTTGCTATCGTCGCTAGGTTGTCTCACTTGTCTTTTGACGTATGTACATTTCGTAAATACACAAACAATTTATTCTCAAAGACAGACAACCTTCCTGTATCAACCGTATTTCCTAAATTACACACCAGTTATGATATATGTGTACGTCGTTATAACTTATTACGAATGTATCGCAAAGCTTGATAAGAAGATTAGTATCTGAACAGCGTGATTAATATCAAGACAAACGAAACCACCTGTTTTGCATGGTATGGATAGTAAAACCAGAAGAATTTTCGATTGAATTTGAGGTTCAACCGAGAAGCTTGACAGAGCAGCGTAACGGCAACGGGAAAGATTTATAAATCCCCCGGTATAGCACATCTATTGAAATTCTGGACACCGATCTACTCTCGGTTAACGGCTTCTACGTGGATCATAATCCGATCAGGTGCCATAAGAAAACTAGTTTAAATACCAGTTTATGCAGGTTCTATAGAAGGATGAGTGGAATGTCCCATCACATCTTACATGAATTCAGGATCAGATAGCAGGTGTATGGCCAATGCTTTATAACGCCAAGTACAGTATGTTGCTCCGAACCGAGCAAGGCGACAAGAATTTAAGCTGGAAACCTGAGGGACTGGATGATTATAAAAGAGCTTTTTCTTCACCTTACGGATTATCTATATAACAATATCCGATCCTCACTTAAAATTTTTGAGTACTGTTATAACATTCGCCAACGTACCGTACGCACTGAAGAAACTATAAAACCTCTAAATGTTTACCAATTTGATAATAAAATTATCCAAAACTTACTGGATTTGTGCGCTCTGGTGGTTTCAAACGAGTCAACATTTTATAGGTTTGCAAATTGCGCTCAAATGAACGTCCGCGCAATTTTACCGCTAAATCCCAATCCTTATTATTCATAGCATTTTCTACAGCTTTTGTGCGTTCAACGCATTCCATTAAAGGTACTCGAACAGCTTGATTGCCATCTAGAGACACCACAACCGGAACCGAATCCGCCTTTGCTTCCATTAACGCTAAAACAGCTTCGGCCCCCATACGACAACCTAGGACGCGATCAAAAGCACTAGGATTACCGCCTCTTTGCACATGACCCAAGACAGTAATACGTGTATCCTGTTTTAATTTGTCCCAAACAACTTTTTTAACCATATCAGCCGTTATGGAACTACCGTCACGGTCAATCGCTCCTTCAGCAATAATTATGATGTTTAAACGTTGACCTGCATTACGTTCCTAGAGACGTGATGACCGATTTCGTAGAAGTGAAAAAGATGGAAAAAAATCTTCGTTTATTTTAAGGATGCAATTACTTCAACGCTAATTACATAAGCCAATGCTTTAAATTGAGAAATAATACAAAATAGAATGAAAAACCCAGATATTAACAATATGTAAATGAATTAAAAGATGATTCAATTAATTTAGATTTTAAGGTAAAACAGCAACCAAGTTATTTTACTGTTCCATTTTTTCGTTACTACAACGTAAGAAAAGTACAAAAGTTCCTATCTAATATGTTTAACGTATTAAGGCATACGAATCATTTTATTTCATATTTTACAGTGAAATTTCCAATGTTTTAATTTTTCTACCAAAAGCCGAAGAAGGAAGCCTCAGATACTGCATAAAGTACATATATTCTTGATCGGCATCAGATTCTAAACCTATTTAAACATGTCTATCTGTACGTCTGTCCGTCTTTGTATTCTCCGGATCGGAAGAATGCAACTCGAGAATTCAGATCGTCTTCAAATTTAGTACAAACACTGAAAGATCTTTTACTCAGGTTCGTATTGAAACTGAGCCAAATCGGTCAAAGGGAATGGCCGTAACACGACATAACCTCATACTCCTCTGTTTTCAAAAAAAAAAAGGTTTGTTTTTATGCTCTTTACTTATAAAACGCAATATATGCAGTAATAAAAAAGTAAGTAAAGCACGCATATTATCGATAAGTAGCAAAGAGTGTTGAATATGAAGTATTCGGTCGCAATTTTATATAATTTTCTTCTATATGAGCAGTAACTCTTAGGTAGATGTCAGAACTTCAAGTACATTTTCATAATAAATTCTTCCGAATACAACGTAAAGATTTAAAGGAATCTTTGAAAATATTTTTTGAAAAAAAATATTTTATTAGGTAAACAGATGTTTTGAAGTATCTAGAATAAGTGGAAACGAATTCATTACATGAAAGCAATTTTTTGTTTGCAATTTCCTCCTTTTTCTAGAAAAGATCACCTGCTTACTATGAGCACTTGCTGCGAAGCTTATGCCTAAGGTTTTACCTTTAAATTTTTAACTGCTCTTTTGTTCTGATAAAAGTCGACGAAAACTGTCTATGTTAGTGTACCTTTATCAAGAATCATTTTTGAGTAGATCTGATACTAAGGACAAATTCAAAAGCTTTTAAGGCTTCTGCTAAAAGTGGTAGTGGCACCGGCGATTACAATAGATCTTTTTAAGTCGATTGCCCACACAATTGATAATAATAACCTTCTCAAATATTATTTTGTTAGCTTCCCTAAGTAAACCTCAACTATTCATTTCAAAAATCAACAATGGAGCTCTATACAAAGCATATGAGAAAAAATGATTTGAAAAGGTATCAATCCCGTTTATTATATACAAGTCAAACGAATAAAAATCTTAACTTAAATATTATATTAGTTTACTTAATTAATAAATAAATTAATGAATGCTCTATGATATAAACAATGAGTGAAATGAATATTTTGATGAATATTTTGCAAAAGCGTAAACAGGGTCACTTAAATGAATTGATTCGAAAATTTCCCAACAAAAAATTTGCTAAATCTAAACTTAGGGAAAAGACCATAAGAAGCAAAGAAAAACTTGCAAAATTTACATTCAAATCTACGGGAGTAACGTAGAAAAAATCCTAATTAATATCAAATAATAGCATGATAATAATGATAGTACTCTACAATCATTCACTATAGCAAAGAAAAAAAAAAGAAATGAAACAGGATGACACCAGCAAACAATAATTGATGATCTTGGTACAGATGAAAAACTATTATTATTGTTAAAAAGTTACAGTTAATCAAGAAAACATTTAGTCAGAATACACAATACAGATACGATTGAATTTCTTTTTTAGTTTAATTTCTTGCCTGGATTAATTTTTGGCAAAGTTGTTCTGGCCAATCGTTTTTTGGAGGATATTCGGGTACAAAAATGTAATCAGCTTCACAACACAATCCAGCTACAACAGCCAAATAACTGAAATATAAGACAAACATTTACAAATACAGAAACGGCCCTTCACTTCTCAGGCCAACATAATAAAAGGGACGCAGGTAAGGATGTAGGGTCAACACGAATGGCAAAACAATTTCTTTTAAATTCTAATTCTCACAGTGTTGTATAGAAACTTATGCATACAGAAACAGTCGAAAGTGAATTTCAACTAATAGCAGCTGATTTAATTCGCGAGAGCTTAAAAATACACTTTTTTTACATAAATTTTTTGTTCTAACACGAACCCAAAAAAAAAAATTTTTTAATTCTAATTTTGTTGACAGTGTCTTACCAAAACTTGTACATCAAGAATTATATAAGCGACTTGGGAAACAAAAAAAAAAAAGAAAAAAAATACTAGCAACAGGCCTAATAAAAGCAAGCAACTAACTTAGGTCTTAATAATTTCGTTTGAATCAAATCCGACAGTTGTACGGAACATATCTGACGTATCTACTGATGATAGCATTGTTGATCCAGTTTGTAATAAACGTGCATTCTTGTTATCAAGTAGCGATGCATAGTTGGGAAATTGATTTTTATTCCTAATTTCAATTTCAGTTTGTATATGTTGTATGAACTTGTGGATCGATTTTTCATTGTACACTCATCTTAATTCGTTTTTTAATACCCATTATTAAAGGATGAGGGGTATTTTCATTTTGTCAAAACGTTTGCCATGCCTAGAAGGAAACATCAGATGCCACACAAAGCATATATATTCTTAATATTCAATATTCACGATTAGCATTAAATTTTTAATCAATTAAAGCACGTCCGTCGGTCCAATGTCTGTTAAAAACATTTCCTTGGAGACAAAAATAAAACTATAGACTTCGAATATTGGAAGTTCTTGCACGCAGGTTGATATTGAAAATGATAAATGTCTGTAGCCCACAGCACCACGTAAACTGAGAACATCTCTGCTTTACAGAAGATATAAAAAGTTGTTTTTGTCTAAAAATTTGCAAAGGAATTTGGAATTGAACTAAACTTTTCAAAGGGCATGCATATAACGCCCACAGACCTCTACGACAAAATGATTTCTTTTGAAAATAAAAGAAATCTGCATATTATAGGGCATGATAATACTTGTACTGTTACTTTTTTGTCATTTTTTAGGGTAAACGGTGACGGGTATAAAAGATTAGTATACGTATGCACAAACATTTATATATAATCGCATATGAACGCTTTACTCGGCAAAATAGATGAATTCCACTTCCTGATTTTTTTTAAATTTTAATGTCAAATCGCTTGATTGACTCCTAAATCCATACATTCAAAAGGAATTCTTTCATTAGTAAGTGTTCACAACAGAAAATGATAAAATCTTCTAAGCTATTGTATCAAAAATGATTTATTTCAGAACCCCGATTTCATACGTCAGAGTAAATCATAATGAAAATTGAATCCTTTTCATTAAAGATTTTGTGCTGCAAAGAAAATAGCAAAAAAAATTTTAAAACCCTTTGTAAAGTATTAATTAAAAATTAACATGGGAAAATCCTTTTTCACCGCCTTAAAGCTCCCAGTTTAAAAATATGCAAACAAACAATTACTTTGATTACTTTATTCTATACGTTGACTCTCGGAGTTACAAATGGGCATTCCTCTAAAAGTAAAATGAAAATATTCTTCTTTGCCGCTAAAGTCGGGATTAAACAATAAAAATAAATAAAAGAATAAATGATAATAATAGGTTAATTTTTCTCCTAAATAAGTCTCCGAGAAAGGGTACGTCTACAAAAAGAGCACTAATCTTTTCTTTTGGAACACGAAAATTCTTCACGGCTACTTATCTTCAATAATGTTTCACTTTAGGCACTCTGCAGGTAATCAATACTCTGAAGAAACCCAGGAACGGATCCCAGTGGCATTAGATATCCAATACAGTGCACTATGGTCCCAAATATCAATTTCTTTGGTCGAAAGTCAATGTCTTGACATTCACTACTTCTGTTTTTATTATTGGCAATATCTCCAAACTACTATTTAACGTCATACGACCGTCGAAGTCGACGAGTTGAAATTGCCTGATGTATTTGCAACCAACATTGCGTTCATTATTGTAGAGTGCTTATTTCCATTGTTTGACTTAGCAGAGAAGAACGCGTGTCAAAAATGAAGTTAACATGGGGAAAAAACGTGATACATAAATTTTATAATACAAAATGTATAAAACTTGAATGCTTTAAAAAATATAATCCCTTTGTCCAGAAACTTTTTAAATTTTGGAGGAAATTTCATTTTTTAAGTTTTTCCATGTTATAAAATTGTGTTTAAAATTGTTAAACTTATGGCCTAAAACAGAAATTAGTTTGGAGAGTGTAGTTTTGTTGTTTTTTTCCAGAAAACTTCTGTGTACAAAATTCAGCAATTTTTGATAATGAATTGAATCTAAGTTGAAGTAAAGTTTGATAGGAAATGTAATTTATAACTAAACTTTTTCTTTTTTTTGACAAATGTAATAATAAAAATAAAAATAAACTACACATCCAAAAGCAATGTTACGTTAATTTTTAATACTTTTGGCCAAGAAAAGTATTTGCAAACGTAGTGCGATGCTCACAGTATTTTTGATCTCTGCAATTTTTAATCAAAGTTTTGCTAATTGGATAAAAACAATAATAAATTTTGCTACGAATACACTTAAGAGTGATATTTCTCATTATACGTATTCCCGTACCCCCGATTCCCCGTATCAAAAGAACAAATCTAATCATTAAATGATATAACTTGCAAAAACTTAACCATTTTTTACAATCTCCAATCTTTACATCTATTTCATAGTTTAAGGGTATGGAATATAGATTTATTACACAGTCTTCATATACATTTATATATAAAAATTTATTTAAGTACATTTAAGCATTTTGTTATAACTAAAGTTTTTGATACGATTTTATATAATTGTTTTATGATTTCTTTAAGATCTTGGCATTCAATTGAATGCTTGCTTTTTTATTAGGGTTATGTTATTAAGGCAAGGCCAAATAATATCGTTGCAGTGGTCTATTTTGAGGATACATAAGATCAGAAAATAGGATGATATATGCATGGATTTTGAAAACATATATAACACGAATTATCTTGAGCAATTGAAGAGACCTCATCTATTAAATTAAAAATATAGTTGTGATCCTAATAAAACTATTAATGTAACTTTCGCTCTTTAAATGAAATTTTTTTCTTTCTTCGAGAAGTACCTCTAGCAGTACATAACGATGAGAAACAAAATGGGAAAGAAGTGAATTTTAAGAAAATTAATGCTTGCCTGTAGTAATTTTTCACATAGCCTGTCTGGCCAATCTTGTGGTGGTGGCGATTCTGGTAAAAAGACATAATCAGCCTCAGATACAATACCAGTAACTACGGATAAATAACTATTGGAATATTACTATAAGTAACTTATAAGAAATTTTTTGTATACTTATATATAATTTAAAGTATAACGCGTTTACTTATAGCTTACTTAAATTAATTTGAAGTTAAAGAAAAAAACTTACCCGCAATGACGCCCCATTACTTCCATAATGAATGTACGTTGGTGCGAGTAAGCAGTACTAACGATCGCATCAATTGCTTCTATGATACGATGTAAAGCAGAATCGGTGCCAATAGTCATGTCAGTACCACAGAAATCGTTATCAATTGAACCGACCTAAAAAAAGTTAATAAACCGAACGTGGTGATTATTAATTAATTTCATCTCAAGAAAAATCAAACATAATACCATGCCAACTATATGCAAGCTGCTATTTTTTTCCTTCTGCTCGGGAGTAATACTTCCCGTGGCTTCCAGTTCATTTAAAAGCGAGGGCCACTCTTGACGGAACAGATTGGCACCAGTCAGCGAGCCATCACCTCCAATTATGACCAGATTTGTAATACCATTTTCTATCAGATTATTAGCAGCTCTTAAACGACCAGAACGCTCCCGAAACTCAGAACATCTTGCTGAACCAATTACAGTTCCACCGCGATGGATTATAGATGAAACTGATGACCAATTAGCTTCCTCGATATTTTTTCCGCCATCAACCATACCCTGATAACCTTCACGTATAAAAAAGACCTGAAAAAAGGGAGATTTTTAAAATGATGATTTAAAGAAATCAAATAAATACTATGACAGCGAAGGACTTTGGAAAGACATTACTATGACGTGAACTATGCTGCAATATTCACTGGTACAAGAAGAGTTGAATTCATTCCTGAAAAAATTCGAATCGCAGAAAACACGTAGCGAACGCTTAACGGTAAAATTGCAGTAGCACGGTGTCACCGATAATCCTTCGTCACCCAAAAACCAAGAGCAAAACGGCAATCCTACTCTTCAAGTAAGCAAACAAAAGGCGAAAACATATCAATGTATGAATATTTACGGATTAAATGTAATTAAAATAATTTAATGAAGACGTGACTTTTTTTTTCAAATAAGTAAAATATATTATATATAACTTATGATATGCCAATCGCATAATTGTAAACAAACGTATTCAGACATATTCTCAGATGGTTGGAATTTCTATACAAATTATTGAGAATATATATGCTTATTCATTACTTCATTTGAGTACATTGAAGTGCTTTTAACGGGTAATGAGAGCACGATTTTTTCTTGCTAAGTGAAATCAAATTATCAGCTTTGGATAAAAGGCCTTATTTCCCATTACAATTTCAAGACGACTTATCATCACAGGAAAGGTATAGCTAATTAAAGGGAAAAAGGATCGAATCTATATAATAAATATCCTGAGAAAATTCCATACATAAATAAGGTAGAGTACACAAATATTATTCATAACTCAAGCATGACGCACAATATAATGCGGTAATAGACTAACATTTGTTGCAAATAGATTAATTTATTTCAATATTAATTGAGCGAAAATCTTAAAAAATGAGAAGGCACATGTTTTTACACTGATTTGGAATATCCATAAGGAAGCTTCAAGAACCCTATAACATATACATATTAGTAAGCGTATCGGTTTGTCCGTCCGCGTAATGTCTGCTGTAAACATTATATTGGCCGCCAAACGGAGCTCTCTGTTTAAATTTGGCAGAAATATTAGAGCCTTACTGAAAATAGGCCAAATCAGGCAAGTCACAGTAGCACGTAAACTAAGAGCGTCTTGCTTTTCTGAAACGAAAAAACAAATCTCGTTTTTGCTTACTACTAACAAGATGTAAGAGATAAAATTCTCAAAACTTCAACATGTATTCTATGGATGTTATACTAGGCGTAGAAAAATTGAAAAAATTGTCGACGCCAACCCCATATTATATCATAACAATATTTCATCCTTTTGTCTAAACCTTTTCAATAGCCAAAACCAATCTTCAAAAATCTCATATAGGTTTTAGTTTTTTGTCTAAACCTTTACAATGGCCAGAAACAATGTTTAAAAACCTTATATAGTATATATACATGCGAAATGCAACCAAACATCTGCCCACCTGTATAGCATAGGTGGCTAACATTATCCCGTTCGCAAAAATGAAGACAGCGAATTTGAAAAAAACTTTGAAAATGACCTAAACCACCCATGGGACAAGAGCCCAATCCGCCCTACAATGCAACATAGCGTGAGCAGACATTCCTTACCGCATTTTTGCTTATTACTCATGAACTGCAATGAACACGCACCATATAAATTTCCACTTTCTTCCGCAAGCAGAAAAAAGTTGGCGAACCCTACCCAACAATATGAAGTATAGAAGTCTAGCCGAATACAATTTTCTTACCCGTTCAAATTAGTTTTAGGAGAAAATCCAAGGTTGATACTATTCAAATATTTTCGAGTTTCAATTTTTCGAACTAGATCAATTTAATCTAATCTAGTTGAATTTACTGATCAGTCTTAGAACCAAATTTTTTTACTGGAGATTTTCTTAATAATTGTAAATTTAATTTGCGATGAACAATGATTGGAAAAGAGATTTTTCATGAAGTTTACCAAGATCTTAAGAAGGAGACGACGCGGAAATTATTTCTTATCTTTAATAGTTCTTATGAAACAGAAATGAACAAAATGATTGTTAACCAGTAAAAACAAGAGAGCAGAATAATTAATATTTAAGAGTGTAAACAAACCAGTGTGTAAATAAAGTCGAATTCCTAGTGCATATAGAGATATACGTTTGTTGAAATGTATACAAATATACCAAAATGTATGTATATCAAGTGCACAGAAAAGCATATAAAGCCGAATTATTCACAACTACAATAAAAAAGAATTATCTAAGAATCAATTTGAAGGAGCAAAAATTATATATAAAACAAATTAGAAGATTATTCAGGTCAAGTCCAATGTAACATAAATAAATCCGCATGAAGATTAATTCACTTACTTTACAACCTAAATATATGGCCATTCGAACACAAGCTCTAACGGCAGCATTCATTCCTTGAGAGTCCCCACCGCTTGTGAAAATGGCTAGACCTTTGTCCTTGTGAGAACCGCGTTCAATGAAGCGTTGCTTAAATTTTACCCCCTCCATCTTAAGAATTTGAGTCTAAATCAGAGTTTTGTGAAATGTTTAATTTGGCGACTCCTTATTACGTTTATAAAAGATATCTCCCTATTCTTACGTACACTTTTATAAATGCCTTTTTTTCAAATTATCGAAATTAATATTAAATTCAATTTTTTTTGTTAAATCCGCACAATTGACCGCCGTGATATCGAATGGGTGAATGTTGATGATGAAAAAAAAATTAGTGTCGGTGCGTAACGAAGATAACACACTAGAGAGCTAGAGAGAGTTGACATTTCAAGGTGACCTTCATTGATTTTATCAAGCGCTTCTGCAATTTCTAAAAGCGGCACAAAACGGAACGAAGAGACGCAGCGCATTTAAAAAAATGCTTCCTTTTGCGCCTTAATTTAACTTTTTATGTACTATTGCCGTTCTGCAAGCATGGTTTGCGTGATTTATTAGCGCGCTATTCCTGAAATTTTGGTTGGAAGTAGATTATTTCACTACTATCGTTTTTTGATTTATTGCTCTCTTTCTCTCACCGTCTTAATAATAACTAATTCGCTTAATTCTTATCACTGCACTTTCTTATGAAAGTTTATTAGTGGAACACATTTCAAAATTAAGAACTTCTTCGCATTTAGCTATAAATTACAATATCTTATAATTAAAACATAATTATAGCCATTTTATTCACTTTTTATTATATTGAATAATGTTTATTCCCTCGGCTGCTAATAGAGTTGCCAAATCATCAAAATTTATAAATCAAATTGCAAATCTGTAAAATTTTCAAATTTCATTTACCCCAGAATTGGAAATGCAAACGTGGCCATTTTGCGTCAGGGCCCGTATTTGTTTATTTAGATGAATTTAAATGGATGATAAAAAGACACAAAATCGGGGAGTCTGGAAATTTCAATTTGTTCATAATCATTGCTTTCAATGCATTAAACTTTAATTGTCAAACACGGACACCTAGGACAGCTTGATTTGTTTAAGGTCTTCAATCTTATCTGTTATAGAATTGCAAGAACCAAAATCATACTCTTCGCCTCATTAGCATATGCTTCTTACGCTTCCTGTCAAATTCTTAAAACTGCTTTAACTTACAAGGCTTTGTTCTTCTCTGTCTCTGTCGGTTCCACCAAAAACGGCTGATTTCCATATCCCTTCTTTTCTCGGTAAGTCAGTTGATCCTTTTCTCTTGCCTTTAATCTAGCACGAAACCTAAAAGTCGCCCGCCCCTCAAGGGGGTGAGGCTCTCAAACATGTTATCAAACGATGATGATTTCGAAAATTTTGTTCGAATCACGCATAGCAAGGGTTCATTTAAAAGAAAAATCACAGCCCAGAACGAAGGTCTCAAAAAGATCATCTCTGATAAGAACAATTCATCTGTAAAAGACTTGACTGAGGATGTCAATATCACCTTCTTAAAGTCCCCGATCGCTCCCTCTAGGAATAAGCCTCCCAATAAAGACAGCTCTGTGAACAGTAACAATAATCGTAGTCCCATAAAAGGAAAGAGCTCTGACCCAACTAGTCCAAATCGTTATAGTGACGACACGACCGGTGAGTGCTACGTATTCATTGAAGTATGCAACAATAACCTAGAGAAACCTTTTCGCCTTAACTCAGATTTATTTTTTTTCGAACACATCAAAGATCTCAAATTGGATGGTTTGATAAATATCAAAACCATCAGCAATGGCAAAGCCAAACTTGGTTTTGCCACTGCGGTTGATGCCAACAACTTTATAATAAACAATGATTTTGGTCCAAAGTCTTGCAAGGCCTACATCCCTAGAATTTTCACAGAAAAATTTGGAATCGTAAAAAAAATTCCACCTTCAATTAAGGGAGAGTACTTTCTCAACTCAGCTACCTCTGATATTGAAATCATTTCTGTTACAAGAATCCTCAGAAGAGACCCCGCAGACAGAGAAATGTTCATCCCAACAAACAGCCTAAAAATTGGTTTCAAGGGTATACTAATTCCCAAGAGTATAAAATTCAACTATTGCAATATTCCAGTTGACTACTTCATTCCTTCCGTCAGGCTCTGCTATAATTGCGGCCGATTTGGTCACATCGCCAAATTCTGCAAAAGTAAGGAAAGCAGATGCCTGAACTGTGGCAAGTCACCGGCCTGTCCTACGGACTCATGCCTCTCAATCAAATGTCTAGGTTGCGGGTCGCTGGACCACAACGTAACATTTCGAGAGTGTCCAAAAAGAAAGAAAGAGGAAAATTTAAAACAAATTTTAACCATCCAGAACTTATCTTTTAGAGAATACAAAGAGAAATTCTCTAACAACCCATACAATTTACTTGAAAACTATGACGTAAACTTCCCAGCAATGAAGGACAGCAATGCTCCTAACAATATCAGAGACCCTACTATTGATACAAATAATATTTTAATTAACAAAAACTTCAATGCAGTTTTAAAAAATAAAACAAGTATTCCCAAGTCCTTGCATAGAATGTCTCTCAAGACGCCCTCGACTTACAGTAACAAGTCGCAGGAGCCAAAAAAACCTACCCCACCCCCTGAAAAGCATACTTTCATCAATTACCATAAATCCGCTGAAATGGAGATAATTCTGGAAAAGATTTTCAGGATTCTCTCCATCTCTTCTCAAGAAGACATGCTTAAAACCATCCAAACAGAAATAAGTTCCCTTAAATCAAAATTTGATCTTTTAAAACAAGGTACATCTGGGTCGGCCCTATCATGTTCTAACATTTCTCATGACGTCCTTCCTAGAGTATAACATACAAAGCTTCAGGCGTAATGCCCATTCTCTTGATTTTTTCATAAATTCCAACCGAACTGATTTCGCCATCTTGAGTGAAATCTTTCTGTCCGATGAAAAAATTTCCGATCTCAAAATCTCAAATTACAACTCCGCTTATAAATGTAGAAGTGACGGCTATGGAGGTGTTGCCATCCTTGCCAGAAAAGGCATATCCTTCAAACAAATCCCATTTAAATCGACTGCTGACATAGTCTTTATCAAAACCTCTTGTCTAAAACCTAATATCGTCATTGCTGCTTGCTATTTCAAGCCCAACATCCCCATTAAATCTTTCCGGGATGACTTTAATCGTCTCTGTGATATGCTCAATAGTTTCCACAATGTCATAATTGCAGGAGATTTCAATGCAAGACACCCTTGCTTTGGTGACTCCGTGTCAAACAATAAAGGCAAAGCCTTGCAAGAAATCATCAAAGCTAGTAACTTCTATTGTCTGAATGATAATTCACCAACCTATTTTCACTCTACGACCAACAATTGTGGTAGCGTGTTGGATCTTACTTTCACTAACGCAACCCATCTCACATTCAAACGGGAGGTTAAAAAAGAAATTTTCCTGGGAAACAGCCACCACCTTCCTATTCTCTTTAATGCCACTTCTATTACCTCGTACAAGATAAATGACTTTATCTCGAGGAAAAAACTCCTAAATAATCTTATTCACGTATGTCTTGAGCCACAGGTCGAATCTATCCAGTGCTCATTTCAACAAGAAATAATTAACGCCAAATCCGACATCCAAATCTCGAATTCCTACTCACCAAAACCTTGGTGGAACGAGCTGCTCACTTCACAATTCCGTAGATTACAGGCTGCTAAACAAAAATTTTCCAAATACCCCAATATTTCTAATTTTGAAGAGTTCAAGTTATCACAAAAAGAATCGATTAGAAAAGCCAAAAGATGCCATCGAGCCCTCGTTATCGAAGAGCTATGCTCAAATAGCAATACAAAGCCATTCTGGAAATTTTTAAATGGTCATCGCACCACAAAAAAGAAATACAAGCACCCCTTTTGGGATGATCTCAACAACAAATCCTACCTTGAATGGCTGAAAGCTCAAGTTCCCTCGACATGTGGTCTCCAAACCTCCTTACTTAACTCTCGGATGGAAAACATCTCTCCATTCTCCCTTGATGAACTCGTGCACGTCCTTAAGTCGAAAAAGAAGTCCACAGCAGCAGGCCATGACGGAATCAAATATGAAATGATAAAGGTCCTTCCCATGCCAAGCCTTCTAACCCTGCTATCTGCTATAAATGAGCGCTGGATGACCAACTCGTTTCCCACCGTTTGGCGTACAATTAAAATAGTGCCCATTCCTAAACCCGGAAAAGATCTTGAAATATTCACTAACCTCAGACCCATATCCCTCTTGCCTGTTCTTCTAAAAATTACCAACCAAATGATTAAAGAAAGACTAACAAAATTCCTGAATCACTCACACCTTCTCCCGTCAAGGTCCTTTGCTTACCAAAAAAATATCTCCACTGGTATGTGCCTTAATGAAGTCCTTTTCACAATTGCAAATGAAAAAGCAAATGGGAACCAGGTAGTCATGCTTTGCTTAGACATTAATAAAGCTTACGACTGTGTAAACTTAGCGAAACTGGACCAAATTCTATCTGATTTTAAAATCCCGACACAAAATAGGCATTGGGTTCTCAGCTTTCTTTCCTCGAGAACTCTCGTATTAGATTCACATACAGTCGAAGTTTGTGGAGGCTTACCTCAAGGTAGCTGTCTCAGGCCAGTTCTCTTCAATTTATACACAGCCGGTTTACATCAATTACAGGACAATTCTACCCATTTATTTCAATATGCTGACGATTTCCTCATCATCTCTGCTGGAAAATCATTAATGGAAGCAGTCCGTAACCTCGACACTAAAGCCAATCTTTTTCACAAACTTTGTGCAGACTTAAATCTAACTTTCAACCCGGAAAAATCAAAAGTCATTCGCTTTGCTAAGGGTCCCAAAAAATTTTTTACATTACAATCAATGGTATAAAAATCAGTCCGTCTTCCTCTTTTAAATTTTTGGGCAGAATAATCAACTCAAGTTTAACCACGCATGAGCATTACAAGGATAGCCTCGAAAATTGCAACACAGGCTCAAATGTCATGAAACTTCTGACCAACATTCACACCGGACTCCCACCTAGGAAAGCATTAAACGTTTACAAATCTATTGTTAGATCCAAAATTGAATATCCCTACTCTACATCGTGTAACGCTCCTGCGTATACATTAAAAAAAATACAAACCTTTCAACACTCAATCCTAAGACGTTGTACCGGTTTGTCCCCCTCAACACCAACATCAATTTTACGTTCCATCTCTTATGAACTTCCCGTTGCCAAGAGAATTTATTTTGTAACTGCAAAAGAACTTCTCAAGGTAAAAATCTTCAAACCTGCCTTCTTTGACGAGGTCGCTTCCAGACACAATCATGTCATCAGTAGTTACTCTAACTGCTTCAAAAAATTCAGTAACATCTTCAATAAAGTTAACTCAATACCCTCCTGGAATAATATTATTCATGATAAATGCGTAGTTGAATTAAACTTACTTAATTCAATCACCAACTCAAAAAAAAATCGATCAGGGTCTTGTCTTCGAATCGCTTGTCTGCAAAAACTTAACCACTTCGTCGAAAATAACTTCAAAATATACGCAACGGATGGATCTATCAATTCGGACATCTGTAGTTTTTCAATTATTGAATACCCAAACTTACTTATAGGAAAATTTAAAGTTCTACAAGAACTATCATCCACTTTCATTGAACTTCTGGCCATCAGACAAGCAATCATCCACGCATCTGAAATTAAGCTGAAAAAATTTGTAGTTTTCTCTGACAGCAAATCTGCTCTAATTTTAATCAAGAACAAAGACCC